GCCTCCACGGACTCAGAGAAGTAATTTCAAACATTCTTTATAAACACAAACGAAGAACAGCAGTGAAAGAATAACAACAGCAATGTGCATGCAGGGTAAAACTTGCTCCTCTCGTCTCCCTCCTCTCCTCGCAGCGACAGGAGAGTCCTCCACGTTGACCGGGCACCAGCAACCAATCAAGCTTCCTCCTCCTGCACACTCGTGGCGTTGTACTTCTCCTCCTGCTCATCTGACACAGCAACGGGCCTGGCACATCCAATCTCAGTATCTTCAACTCTCTCTCCCACCATCGTCCTTCCGCCCACTCCCCGTTCCAACTCACCAGTAGTTTCTTCCTCCTGCGTTAGAATCTAGCTGCGGAGATCCTTTCCTCATGAAGCCTGAGCCCTGCATGAGAGGTCAGACTCTGCACAGAGGGAGAGGGAGAGGGAGAGGGCGAGAGAGAGAGAGCGGAGGGGGGAAGGAGGGAGGAAGCAAGGAAGGAAGAGAGAGGCAGTTGATTAAACCAAAGCACAAGAGGACAGAGAAAAAGCAGCAGAGGAGCGGAGGAGGAGGGGAAGGAGGAACACAGACCGGATCAGGCTTGTAAACTTGTTGCTTGAGAGATCCCGATTCGCCATCGTCCTCCTGATTGTTCTTGGCAACTTCGCCGAAAGTTGCGCCATCCCCGATCTCACTGCGAGAGCTGGTGAGGAAGGAGGAGGACAAGGAAGGAAAGGCACGAGGACGAGGAGCAGGAGGAGGAGAAGCAGGAGAAGAAGCAAGAGGACGAGGACAACAAGGAGGAGGAAGACATCGAGGAGGAGGACAAGGCGGAGGAGTCGAAGTCACCTGCCCGGTCCGATCGATGCTCCGGCTCCGAGCTGTGCTCCTTCTCCAATCTGGAGACAAGCGATGAGCAGAGAAGAGGAAGCAGACGATATTTTGATGGAGCCGTTGAAAGAAATGACAAGCAGGGGAGGGCGAGCTCGTGTAGGATTGAAGCAAGGAGATGTAGCGAGAGGGAGGAATGAAGTAGAGAGGGGAGGATCGGACGACGGAGGTAGAGCAGTAGACGGGCGGGAGAGGATGGTTGTGGAGGCAATTAGCACATGATCACCTTTGAAGCCGCTCCAAGGACAGCGTGAGGTCCGAGATTGGCGTCTGTGCCAAAGGAAGTTCCTTGACCAGCATGAAGTGACGAGGCGAAGGTGACGTGGTCGGCAATCTGGTTACGAGCGCCAAGACGGGCGTTGCTGGACACGAAGGTGAGCTCCAGGAAAAGACGACGACGAGGAGGAGCAAGGAAAGAACGTGGGTTTGGAGGGATCGATGGTGGTGATGGTGTTGGAAGGAAGGAGGGAGGGAGGGAGGGTGGGTGGGTGGGTAGGTGGGAGGATGGAAGGAGGAGAGGAGGTGTAGGAGGAGGAGGAGGAGGCGGAGGAGGAGGAGAAGGGGGAGGAGGAGGAGGAGGAGGAGACGGAGGAGGAGGAGGGAGGGGGGAGGGGGGAGGAGGAGGAGGAATCTCAGGGGGCTGTGGGGGCCGGGAGTTGCAAGGGAGACATGAGCCGACATCACCTGCCGAATTCGACATGAGGCCCTATCGAGTTGTCATCTCCCAGCTGAGCATCCGCCGCAAACTTCGAGTTGGCGCCCACCTGGAAGGAGGGGTCAAGTGCGGAACGGGCTTGTCAAGCCACGCTGAACCTCGTTGTCGTTGCCCAGCTCCGCCCCCTCTCCGAAGGAACTCTTGTCACCAAACTTGTTGCCGTCACCAAACTTGGCGTTCCTCCCGAACTTTGAGCGGCTCGCAAACTGCCGGGGGTCAGTTCATGGGAGGGATGGGGAGCAGTCAGTACCTCGTCGAAGCTCCCGAACTTCTCGTCACTGCCGAACTTGTCGCCCTCGCCTGACAGGGGAACTTGAGAAGACCCACACACACCGACGTCTCTCACTACCGAAGGAGATGTTGTTGCCGAAGACCACTCCATCCCCGAAGCGAATTCTTGCTCCGAACTGTGAAAACAAGCAAGAGATCAGGGCAGGAAAGTATGAGAACACGCAAGAGATCAGGGCAGAGTGGAGGAACGAGCAGGAGAAACAGGCGAGAACGACGAGGAGGTGATACGGGAAGGAGGAGGAGTTCAGTTATCACGGCAAAGAGCAAAGACACAAAAGTGAGCAAGGAGAAAAGCAAGATCACCTTGAGATCTCCCCCAATTCCCTCAGAGCTATCGTCTTCTGTTTCACTGCTGTTTCCACTCTGACTACCGTGTCCTGCCTCAGTGGCGTTCGTGCTCCCTTCAAGCAAAGACATCTTCTTCCTAGTCAACATCCTCTGACTCTTCTCCTTCCCTTCCTCCTTGTTGAGACTCTTCAACACGTTGCTCAGCATCGACTTCAGGGCTTGCATGTCGGCCAGGGAGGCAAACTTGCCGGTCTTGCCCACCACCTTCTGCGACGTCTTCCCTTGGACAGCTTTTGTCTGGCTAGCCTGTCCTTTCCTTCTAGCAAGCTGCTCCCTTCGCCTCTCCATGCTCTGCTTGAGCTTCTGCAAACCCTCCGGCAGCAGCTTGCTATCCCCCTTCTGCTTCTCTACCGGGTACCATGCCCCGCAGCAACTTGCCGCAATCTCCTCGCATAACAAACCGCAGCAGCACAGACCGTTGGGAGTGATGTCAGCGGCGTCGTCTTCAGGGAGGGGGATCGACGAGTTGCCGCCTCCTGAATTGTTCGCCAGCCACTCCTCGAGATTGAAGTCTGGCTGCTCCGCAAGCCAAGCGTTGAGATCGAACGCGCTCCCGGCGGTGTAGTTGCCTCCCTGAGCCAGCTGCATCTTCAAGCTCTTCTGCTTGAGGGCTGTCTTGGCAGCTCTACGGGCTTGCTTGCGGTTGAGGAGGATCTGAGAGGATGTAGTCTCGGATCTAGCCGACTGCAACCACTTGTTGATATCGACCTCCTGCTGCTCCCCCAGCCATTTTGACAGGCTGAATGCATCAGAGGCATTCTCCTGCTTCTCAAGCCAGGCATCGTCATCTTCCAGAGGATGGTCCTCCAACCACTTTTCTATGTCCACGGACGGCTGCTCGTCAAGGAAGCGGGTCATGTTGAACGCGCTAGAGCGGTTCCCCTCCTGCTGGTCTAACCACTTCTCCACATCTGGAAGGGGATGCTCGTCCAGCCATCCACTCATGTTGACGCTGCTCGTCGAGGAGGAGTTGGCCAGCCAGCCTTCCAAGTCCTCGGGGTCTGGGTAGCCTGACAGCCAGTCATCCAGGTCGAAGCTAACTTGAGCATCCAGCCATTGCGACAGGTCTCTGATCTGCACGCTGCTGCCGTTACCATCGGAGACGTAGGGGAATTGCTGCTGCTCCTTCAGCCAAGCGTCCACGTCGAACTCGTGATGCTCGTCCAGCCAGCTGCTCAGATCGAACTGTCCCGATTCGTTCCCCGCGGAGGAGTTTCCTCCAGTCTGCTGCAGCACTGAATGTCTCTGCATGCGAGCAAACTTGCGCTCGAGCTTCTTCCGGAGTGCGCGAGCTTCCAGGCTCTTCACACTCTCCCACAGAAGAATCTCCTCCATCGTGCTCAGCAGGGCCTGCGGGTCCGCCCGTTGAGCATGGTACCAGACCTCAGCATCCGGAAGATAATCCTTGTGCTCCTGCAGATAAGTCAGGAACCAATACCTTTCCATCGCGTTAAGTTTACCTGATACCACTGTTCCGCATCGACCCCGTAGTTCTTGTGTTCCTCGTACCACCTGCTCATACTAGGCGTGTAGTTCTTGTGCTCCTGGTAGTACTTCTCCGCGTCGACCCCGTAGTTCTTGTGCTCCTCGTACCACCTGCTCATACTAGGCGTGTAGTTCTTGTGCTCCTGGTAGTACTTCTCCGCGTCGACTCCGTAGTTCTTGTGTTCCTCGTACCACCTGCTCATACTAGGCGTGTAGTTCTTGTGCTCCTGGTAGTACTTCTCCGCGTCGACCCCGTAGTTCTTGTGTTCCTCGTACCACCTGCTCATACTAGGCGTGTAGTTCTTGTGCTCCTGGTAGTACTTCTCCGCGTCGACTCCGTAGTTCTTGTGTTCCTCGTACCACCTGCTCATACTAGGCGTGTAGTTCTTGTGCTCCTGGTAGTACTTCTCCGCGTCGACTCCGTAGTTCTTGTGTTCCTCGTACCACCTGCTCATACTAGGCGTGTAGTTCTATCATATGCAAGTAAGATGAACTTTCGGAAATGAGAGCAATATACCTTCCACTGTGAGTACCATTCTTCAGTGTCTAGGTACCGGGCAAGCTTGGGAAACGAGTGAAGCAGGACTCTCAACCTCCTTTCTTTCTCCTCCTTCGGCCAGGACCTAAGGATCTGAACGTTGCGGAACTGTGAAAGCCAGCATACCATGCCACATTTTCCACGTCTTCCCACCAAGGACGAAGCTACTTGGGCAAGGATTTCCAATCTGCCGTGGATTGCCTTGTCCTGCCTGCGAATGCCATGTTTTTCAAGCCAGTCTGACATATGAAAACCATCCTTGTTCTTGTGCTCTTCAAACCAGTCTTCAAAGTCGCTCCTCAACTTCGGATTCTCCATGACATGCTTGTACCAGTGCTCAGTGCTTAGAATGCTATGGTCCTGCAACCAGCCCTCGATGTCCTCGGGGTCCTTGTGAAGCTTCAACCAGCAACCTATCGACATTGACCACACGTCGGCGTTTCCTGAGCAGAGGTGACTGGAGTTGTTGTCTGATCCTGTGCTGTTTGATGAAGAGCCGTTGCCATCCAGACCCGATGTGTTCAGCCAGCACGGAGGCTCTCCACATGGTTCCAGGGTCAAGGCTCCGCAACAGGACGAGTTGGTCGAGTTGGTCGAGCTGCAGTCCAGCTCCATGCACTGATCACAGCCACTGGGGCAGCAGAAGTTCCCTTCGGCACTTGAAACTCCACCGAGATCCTCACATGACGTGCTTTCATTCGTGGCATTGGTCTCTAACAGTTCAGAGAAAAGATTCAGAAGCGAGGGCTTCTGAATCGCGCGGCTCTTCGCGGCTAGTATGCCGTGGCTTCTTGGCATCTTCGACATTAAGTCCGAGACTGGAGAAGATTGTCCGTTCGCCGAGATCTGAGACATGTCAGCGATGGACTGCATAGACATGGATATTACCATCAGGATCGCTATGAACGCACACGAACAGCCCAGAAGAACTCCAACTCTCCAGAGCCGAGTGCTCTTGGAGTTGTCTGCAGCAAAAACATGTTCAGTTCACTGCAGTCCCTGACTCAACCTCCCTGGCATCTCTTACCTGGCAAGATGGTTTCATCGGTTGGGAGGGATCCGTACTTGGTGGTCTCAGACATGCTTCTTGATACGAATGAATCTATCTCCAGTCACCCTGCCCAGTCCGGTCAGCAACCACGTGAACAGACGCGGCATAGTGTTCATTTCATTAACCAGCTTTCTGTTGATCATATTCTCTCTCATGCTCTAAATTCTCTCTCAACATCTAACCTCCCTTTCTCCTCAACTATTGCTCCATGTCTCCATCTTTCCCTCTCCTCTCTATCGTGTCCTTTCCCTTCAACTCACACCTCACTGTCTCTCTCTCCCACTCTCCCTCTCAAATTTCCCCTTTACCCGGCACCTTCCTTCTTCTCCATCTCGCCCTCCATCCCTCTTCTCCATCTCACCTCCATCCTTCCTCTACTTCTCTCCTTGTATCTTTCCTCTCCTTCTCTCCCTGTCTTCCCCACCATCCCTCCCCTTCCTCTTCTGACGTCCCCTTACCTCTCACGTCCCCGCCATGGAGCCGATGACCCGGAAATAGACGTGGCCCACATCCCCTACGAATGACCCACCCACCCCTAGACCAGCCCCTGCACCCCAGCCTGCACCCACACTGCCACCCCTACTGACACCCACCCCGCGCAGCCACACCCCAGCACCCCTATGTAGACACGGGCCAACCCCTATTTTTGATATTTACCTGGTACAAACTTCAGTTAACTCACTCCTACACCTCAATGCGGTGGGTTGTAGGCGCCATGGCGATTCATTTTAGGGGGTTCTGCATGCCATGGCAGAATATCACGAGAAGACTCCAATGAGAATGTTGACGGGTAAAGCAGTGAACCTCACCATGGACAAGCCGAAGGCGCGGAAGACCAAAACATACCAAGCATGCCAAAAACGAAGAAAGAAGACCAGGATCCACAAGTGGCAAGATGTGCCTGTGCACACATCTTGTGTGCATTTAATCAAAAGGGTGGCAAGGATTCTAGGCGGGTCTCACCCTCGAAGTGGAATGATGCTGTGGTTTTAAGTTCAAGCGGTTGGATTTCTTGCAATTTCGATGTCCTTCAACTTTGTCGTTCGAGTGTGAAGAAGGCATTCTTCATGCTTCAGCGACCCAACATCTGAAGTTGAGTCTTGCACATGTATCATCGTTTGAAGTGAAACACAAAACAAAAGTCTCTGAAGATGTATCCAATTCTTTGCTTGATTTCTACCTACTCTTCCACCCATCCCCGTGTCATGCCATTTCAATCTTCATACTGGTACAGCCGTGTACACAGGCCCTTCCGACGACAAAGGTATCACAACACTCTAACAGCGTCAACAAGAATACGATTTAGATCCCCAAAGAGTTCTGTAGAAGTAGATTCAGCTTCATTTCACAACAACCTTCGAATCATGCACTGTACCTGCGAATAATAACGACCAGGATTTCTTTCAAAAACGGTACCACCATGATATTGGACTTGGAAGCGACATGTCATCGCCTGCACCAACACAATGATGAAATAGTTCTGATTGCTCCTGACTGTCAACATGCGAATGGCCCTCAGCTGATATCACATGGATACATCAGAATGAGATCCAACTTTCAACCATGTGGTTGTATCCAAAAACATCAGATTGGTGTAGGCTCTCTGCTCTTTTGTGCAAAATGATGTCCGATGTGCTCTATGAAACTTGACAAATAGTCTGAAAGGCAATCACCCTGTTGCATCGCCCTCAAAACCGAGATCCGATTCTCCTACCATAGTATGAAACAAGGGCCGCGCTTTCGCTTGCCGCATTCACCGTTCTCAAAGGAATCCAGTCAACTCTGCACTTACATCAGCTCTTATGTCATACATGTCAACACTGAAACGACTTCCTAACAACATGGTATGATCGCGTCAAAGGCATCTTCAACGTGCGCCCTGCATTTTCTCCTTCATTGACGCGCGGGTCAATTGTACAGCTACTGAAAACGAGTCTTTTCGATCACGCTACTGCAACTCAGTTATATAAAGTCAATAAAGATTATAAATTGGCTAAGTCTTCCTGGTCGAAATAGAAAAAGGGAGCTGTTGAGGGAGGGACAGAGAGGAGGGGGGAGAGGAGGGGGGAGAGGAGGAGGGAGGGAGAGGAGGATGGGGAGAGAGGAAGGACGGAGAGGAGGGACGGAGACTCAGAGGATGAGTGGGTAAGGAAGGAGGGAGGGAGGGAGAGTAGGGAGGATGCCTAGGCAGCAGACCCAGACACAAATACACGCAGAGAGACAGGAACAATCACAGCAATTAGGTAGCGGCACAGCAGCAGTGAAAGAGAATGATAGAGAATCAAAGATAAATTGAAATCACAGAAAGACGGAGACGAGCAACAGGGAAGAGGATCTGTTTCAACAGCGGATAACTTTTCAACTACAGGCCTGTATCTGCCATTGAGTGCGCTGTTCGTTCAGAATGACAGGGGCTTCTGACAAACCAAGTCACATACAGATGCTCATCTTCTTCTCCCTCTTCTTGACAGCATCATGTACTACCTTCGAAGATGCTATCCTAGACGACATGCTGGGAAGCAGCAGCCCTCTCTGCACTGGTTCGGGCTTAGGGTCGACGAGTTTCAACTACAAGTTCACCTCTTCCGAGAACACTTCGCGTTGGGCTTCGATGAACAGCAAGTATGAGAAGGACGTTTTCTTGGCAGAGATGAGTCACGACGATGAGAATCCAAACAGATCCTGGAGGCTTCGGTTTGGAAAGGGAGGAAACATATACAGCTTCGTCGGAGCATACGGCGAGTCTGTGCCACCGCAATACCACAATCTTGCCCCGTGGAACGATGAGGTATGGCAGGCAGTCGCGGTAAGCTTGAACTACAACCAGCCGCAAACTCCATACTACATTCATCAGGCAGGAGATTACCTCAAAGACAACTTGGAGACGCCATTCACCTCCCCCACCCTGGCAAAGTCTTGCAAGGACAATCAGTGCAGCTTCTTGTCCTGGGGGCAACAGGCTCACATTCCCACCTCATGGCGCAGCTCTGCTTTCTACTACACCCGATACAAAGACTGCGGAGAAGGAGTCCTAGAAGTTGAATGGTCGATTCACAATGTGGCAAGTCTACCAGAAGGGCACAACTTCCAGTACTACAATGTTCCTTGGGGAGGAGTTAGGACATCAGCCTTGACGAAGATGCTAATAAGCAGCAAGGACGCTGGGGGGTACACAGGCTTCCAAACTACTCCTCCTTACTCTGACACAACTCAGACCATCCGAAACCTGGATGTGACCCTCGGGTACACGACGTTCACGCAGAAGCAGGTCAAGGAGCTAGAGTCAAACTTTACAATGCCATGCGGCAACGCCGCTGGCAGTGAGGTGCCGTGCCCACAAACTGGAGCGGAGGACCAGACTTTGCGGTTGGTTAAGAGCGCAAGCTGCACGCTGATGGAAGCTGAGGCCCAGAGGCAACTTGGCCTCCCTCTGACCTCATGTCCCATTGAAAGTACCGTGACGATCTCGACTGGTTGCGAATATCACAAAGGCTGCTCTCTCGTCTTCACAAACCCCAGCAACGGTTTCTCCATGCCTGTCCAAGGCGTTTCCAGCTGGGCATGGAAGGGGACGAAGATCCTCTTTTGGACGCAAGTACCGCTGGACGAAGTCAACGCCAACTGGGCAACAGGTGAGAGCCTCGTCGTCAGCTACTCTCCAGCAGAGGACCCGAAGAAGAACTTGGCGCTGACCTTGGTACATGGGGTTGGATCTGAGCATGGGCAATCATGGACTCTCAACAGACCCAAAGCCAGGTTGCGGTATGGAGCAACCAACGTCGCGCGAGACTACACTGTTTTCACTGTCGAAGCTTTCTCTGTGATCAGGCCAGGGCAAACTTACGCTTTCAGGCAGTACTTCATCTCAGATGCGTTCGAAGGGATGCAGGGGAAAGCCTCGCGCTGGGTCAACCAGACTTCACAGAGGTTTTACAGCGCTGGAACGAGAGCAGGTCGTGATATCTTCCTCTGCTCCTGCGACAATCGCACGTTCGGGGCGACGTTGCAGGAGTGCGACAATGAGAAATCCGTCAAAGTGTGTGCGGGGAGCTCAACGCCGGGAACAGGAAGAAAGCCCTTGTTTGCTATTCAGTGCGGCGACATCTCCTACGTTGGCAGTGATCCCTACTCCCTCGCGCCATGGGCCGAGAACAGCTCTGGATACTGGAAGCCTTACATCTGTGCTTCCAGGCCCGGGCTGCGCCCCACGTGGCGGCTGCTTGGGTACTTTGCAGAGGGGGCTTGTGCTGTGCTGTCATCAGCTCGATTCGGGTCAGAGAAATGTCCTAGCGAGCTGCCGTGGGCACAGTCGGGCCCCTACGACATCTCAGTGTGCTACGAGACGTGGAGCTGGGCCAGTCTTGTTCCTGCCGTGAAGGATGGGCAGGCAACAACAGGCGGGTTGGGGGAGCTGATGGTGCCCGGGTGGTATGAGGTCTGGCTTTGCATGAGAGATCATGTCTGTCCGATGGCAGCGGGGAGAACGGCAGGGCCAGCAACGATGTGTTTCGTGTTCGACGAGAGGGAGAAGCTGTTCGTCCCATGGTACACCCGAACCTTGTACATAACATCGAAACTGACACACGTTGCTGTCGCAGGGACCTTGCAGAAACTTTGATGATCAAAGGTGCGAGCGCTTGATAACGGGGAAAGTGAGAAGGAGATGAAGATTGAATGTGGCGATGAAGCCGGGGATTCACCCCAACTTGGCAAACTAGCAGCAAGCCGAGGCTGCACTTCTCGTACCGTGCTTGACCAGAAATAGAAACTAACGACGCTAAGATGCTGTGTAGAATAACCTTTGTATTTGATTTGCTAGTGAACACTATTTTTTTCATGTTAGGGACCCGACTAAGGAACTTCGGAAGTTGTTCTTTCCGACGGTTCAACGTTCGGTCTGACCATCCCCAGTGAAAGAAGAACCCCAGAAAAGAAATCCAGCAAAGTCATATAGACCACTGCATGTACTGACTTCATCTTGCTGTCACGTTCTGCCGTATCATCAGTCATGTCCAACAGTTGTTAGAGTGATGACTAGTGCCCGTGTCAAGTCATTCCGAGGCGGGCCGATATCTCTTTTTAAAACGCGTGTTTTAGGCTAAGTTTAGGTACACCTGGAGGGGGTGGTATTGCTGGTCGTCTCGAGGGTAGGGGTAGTCGAAGATTGAGGTCCAGGGGTGGGTCAAATGAAGTATGTAGAAGATAGCGAGACCCAGTAAGAGGGGATGGGTAGGGTGGTCGGAGGGTAAGCTGGTAACGTAGATGACTTCTGGGGTGGGTGGTAGATGCTGTGCTTGTGGGGTGCGGTAGGAATTGGGGTGGGTGGTCCAAATCTGGTTCGTAGCCCAAACATCCTGAAGGGGGTACAAATTCCCCCGGGGGGGTAGGGTAATTGACCACTCTGGGTGGGTCATTATCATATGTGCATTGGGGGGGAAAGGGGGGTAGGGTAATAAGGATACTCTGGAGAGGAGCACCCTCACCACCCACCCACATAAACAACTTTGGGTGCTTTTCTATTACCAAAGGACCCTAGGCAGCGACTAGTTTTCCTAGGGTCCTTTGGGTATCCCCTACATCTACAAAAATGCTTTTTATTAAGTCCCTGTGTTCCCTACCATGGCGAGATTACCATATGTTAGCGCCTTCCCTGCAGCGATCCCCGATGCTGACACTCTCCTTCCCCTCTATACTCGACCTCATCCTTCATCTTAACAAGCTACATGCACATCGGCAGCCATAGCCTCAGTTAGAAGACTGCACGATCGCATTTGAGAACATTTGTTACAATAGCTTCACAAGTTTCACTGGTTTCATGTACACAACACCCACAAGGCCTCAGACTCGTTTGAAGCTAATGTCTTGAGCTGATTTCAGATATTAATCACAGTTAGATATGCTCGAAGAATAATTGATCTGGCACAGTGACATTGTAGGCAGGTTGCTGGAATCTTTATGAAATCGGGGGGTAGGAGCTGCAACACATTTTAGAGCATGGGTTCCTCTCCTTCTACGTTGCTGGTGTTGGAAGGACCCAATGGAACGCGACAGATACACACGGGCAATCAAACCTTTCTTGTCACTCGGATGATCAGCCCTTCCGACTCCAGGTCAGAGAAGGACATGCACGCGATACGTCGCTGATCCTATGGCAGGGAGATGTCGCTGATAGCGCAGCAGACCAACCAGGTCGCGTTTGCTGGCCCGTCAAGAGGACGAGCGCAGATTTTTCAGACGTCGAACATCAATGCGAGGAGCGCCGACCGAATGATGCTGCTGATGGAGGCGCTGGTGGAGTTCCTGGAGGCAGTTGAGGGTGGGGCGAGGGGAGGGACGCTAGTTCCACAAGCAGATCTAAGGACCCCGACATCAGTCGTAGCCTCGCTTCCTACATGCAGATTCTCGGTGACCGAGCTCCTGATGTGCTATATGATCTCCTGAACGAGGGTAGCAGGGGGGGGATGACTCCAAGGAGTGCTACATCTGCCTTTCGAACTTTGAGACGGTGAGTTGGCAGCATCGGTTGGGTTCGTGTGAGTGAAGGATCGATGCAGGACGAGCTCATACGAAAGCTCCCCTGCCAGCACGAGTTCCATGCTCACTGTATCGACAAGTGGCTGCTAGACGTCCATCGGACTTGCCCGTGTTGTCGGGTAGACATTTGCGAGGTGATGCGTCCCTTGATCGAGCGGGTGAAGGGTTTGACATGCACTTGCAGGCGCTAGAGCCTTGTGAGGATCAGAGGGAAAAGTTAACAGGAGGGAGATCGGAGCTGACAGCAGCGGGGTGGGCTCGAGAGCAGGACTAGCTTCCGACCTGAGCTCGCTGTTCCAAGAAGAAGGGCAGGAAGCGGTGAGGACGAGGACGCGATAGCCTGCCGCAAACTCACGCGTGATGATGTCAGGGAAGGGCAGCGTCGCTGCTGCAGGAGCCTTCTCCTCCGTTTCCTCCTGCTTCTCCCACCCTTGTTGCCTCAAGGTGAAGGGAGGGGGCAGTTTGGCCTCTGCTTCTGATCCGTTGCGACGCAAGGCAAGGCAGTCAAGCACGTGTAGCTAGCACCAGCGGCGTGCGAGAGTTTTCGGTACGGGGAGAACCGTCTGTGGGGAGCACGATTGTTGCATCTTCAGAGGTGAGGAGACGGAAGGAGGCCGGTGGGTTTTCTGAGATTGTTTGCTCCACAGCCCACAGACGCAATGAGAGGACGTGTAAGTCTGATAGAAGAAGAGCCTGCCAACCTTGGCAACTTTGGTATCCTTCAAACCATTGAAAGGTGAGGAGATACTCAGTGCTTCCCATCGTTGTGATGGCTGTAACCCTCCTGCAGCCCCGGGAGCAGTATATATCGCAATAACCGCCTGCAGATGCGGAGTAGAAGAAATTCTAGGGTAAAGCCACTCGATCATGCATTGCAAGCCTGTTCTTGACTCGTTTCGACCAGACTTGTATTATATCATGATTGGCACGCCTGTCAAACAGAAGCACTGTGTATGTAACTGGACACAGAATCGGATGTTGGGCTTTTCCTGGGATTGTGCAGATATTCATTCAACCATATGATATTCTTCCTTGCGCTTATTAGTTACAAGTTTCCCTCAGTCAGGCAGTCTAGCTGTTAGGCATCCTCAAGTCTGCCAGAAAACAAACATCAATGTAATGAACCAATAGTTGAACCGACAAAGCTGGCACACACGAGCAACCACAGCAAGGAGATTGACTTGTCATGATGGTTGTGGATACCGTAGTCGACGAAGTCCACCAGCCGGTCGTTGTCGTACATTGCGTCCTCCAATGCCTTTGTCCCACTGAGCCCGATGTCGTTTGATGCTGTGATCAAACACCGCATCGACGAGCTAGGATGGCGTCAGATTCCGCCAGGGACCAGGAGGAAGGAGGACGAGGACTAGGAAGTGGGAAAGAGGAGGAGAAGATGAGGAAGCGGGCAGGAGGAGGAGGAGGAGGAGGAGGAGGAGACAAGCAGGAGTGACCTCTTCCGTGATGCACGTGCAAGGCAGATGGCTCCTTCGTCGCGGATGTAGTTGGCTCTGCAACAGGAGGTCAGTGGACGTCAGACCGGCACATCCGTTTCCGCACTTGAGGTTGACGACTGCGATGACGAAGTTGTTCTCTATGGCTTCAGCGATGCTTCTAGCCCCCTGGTCGGAGATGCCGCATGCTGGATGGAGACTCAGGTCCTCTGCTGCAACGGCTCGTTCTCACCGTGCGCGTCGAGGTAGGTCAGGGTGCTGTTGAGCTTGAGGGCCGTCGCGATCTCTGCGATGCCTTCGTCTCTGATGTCGTTGGTACTGTAGCAATCAATATCAGGTCTTGCAAGGAAGAGGTCGAGGTCGAGGAGGAGGAGGAGGAGGAGGAGGAGGAGGAGGAGGAGGAGGAGGAGGAACATAATGAGGAGGGGGGTGGGGAGGAGGAGGAACACAAGGATGAGGAGGAGGAGGAAGAGTCGGTGATAAGGGGAGGGGTAAAGTCTGTCCTCAGGGAAGGTTTCTATCGACTCAAGAGGAGGAGGGAGGAGAGGCAAGCTACAACCTGATATCAAGGTACATCAACTTGGTGTTGGACTGCCAAACTTGTTGAGCATTGCTGTGCGCTCGCAAACAATCATCACCGTCAGAGCTCGTCCTATCTGAGTTGCTCCCAACTTGCTGATGTTGTTGCAGCTCAAGTCAAGTCCCTCAAGGCTAAGACCACGATCACTTCTCCTCCTTCTCCACCTCCACTCCTCTCTCACTTCTTGCATGTCCCAGTCTTTAACAAGCTCCCAAGCTCCCCAGCTCCTTCATCTCCGACCTGCTTGAACGCCAGCCGGAGGATTTTGCAGTCTCCTCGACTCTCTATCAACTCCTTGAACGCGTTCTGAACAGCAGTCAGCCCTTGCAGCGTCGGGCACTTGCTGACCGTGTATCTAGGAACTAGCCCGCCTGGGTTCGAGCTCGACAGCGCTCTGACATCTTCAACAGCAGAAGCGTCAAGATGAAGGAGCAACATCAAGACACGGGAAAGCTAACAACGACGTGGCAAGATCATAACAGCATGCACATGGGAAGAAGACACATGAACAAAGTTTGAGCAGCACCATCAAACCCGAGACAGTCAGACGTCACAGCCATGGAACACCAAGTCGAGCATGCGCATGCCAATGTCCCACCCTCAGGGATCGTCCCAGGTACTCTAACGCCGTCTCCGGCATCTCCGAACCCATCGAGCTGGTCCTCCTGAAGGCAACCAGTCATTCCTCCTCCTCCTCCTCCTCCTCCTCCTCCCCTCCCTCTTCCTCTCCCTCTCCCTCTCCCTCTCCCTCTCCCTCTCCCTCTCCCTCTCCCTCTCCCCCTCCCTCTCCCTCTCCCTCTCCCCGTCTCCCTCGTCCTCCCCCCGCCCCCCTCCCGGTAATCATACTTGACTCTCTGTCTTCTGCGAAGCAAGAGCATCAGTGGGATGTAACAACGTGTCTGTCAGACACTACTACCTTCTCGTCTCCCACCGCCAGCGGAACTTCCTTGAGGTCCTACATAGCGGCGACTCAGTACTGCCTCCTCCCTGCCACCCGTCCCTGTCTCACCCGTATGGTCGGTCGTTTCTTCACCCCCTCTGCCATCTTCTTCCTCCTCCTGCTTCTGCTCCCCTTGCTTGTCTCCCCTCCCCTCCCCTTTGCTCCTCCTGCCCCCTTCCGAAAGTTCCGCGCGAAATTTTAAAAAACCCGGATGAGTCCCGTCTGCCCCCTCCCCTGCTAATGCCTCCTCCCCGACCGGCCGCTCCTCTCCCGGGCATGTCGCGCGCCCTACTGCCTTCCCATGTCCCTGCCATGATATCCTCCCTCCTCCTCCCTCTCCTCCTCCCTCTCCTCCTCCGTCCCTCACTGTCTCCTTCCGTCCCTTCCTCCTCCTCTTCGTCTTCCTCCCCTCATTGCTGGTGATGTTTCTTTTTTTTATTCTTCCTCGCTTGCTAGGGTTAAGAACATCAGGGGACTCTTCGACACGGACAGCATGACGGGAAGCTTGTCGACCTGCTTGTCCACCATGCTGAGGAAGAAGAGGAGAAGTGAGAGGAGAAGCAAACTGATAACGATCAAGACAGCATGAAGAAGAAACGTAGCGCAGGGAAGGAGAGAGCGAGCAGAGGAGCGTGCGGCAACAGTACAAGTCACCTCCTTGGAACACGAGACAGGCATGCCGTGATGTCTCTCTTGGGGTTGAACTTCTTGAAACCTGACGCAACTTCAGTCCAACCCTGCCCCTCCCCCTCCTCCCCCTCCTCCTCCTCTCACGAGTTTCCGCAATCCTCCGGCCTGATTCCACGTCCCATCCTCTCAGCACTCCGTCCACCCCGCAAGCATACAGAACCCTTCGTTGGAACAGCATCAGACTAGGTCGGCAACCCACCGCCTTGCATGCCTTTCTTCATGGTCGAGGACCGGGCGGACAACGGAATGGCTGCCATGGCGATGAGTCCTCGACTAGCAACACCTTGCCGACAGCCTCCTACCTGTTCTGATGTCCTTCATATGCCATCGTCGGCCGTGCTGTTGAGGATTGGGAGTGAGACGGGAGGACCGCGGGAGGAACAGGCAGGAGGAGCAGGAGCAGGAGCAGGAGCAGGAGCAGGAGCAGGAGCAGGAGCAGGAGCAGGAGCAGGGGGGAGCAAGAACCTGTGAAGCGAAGGTCCCACCGAAAGATCTCGCCATTCATGCTCGCGGCCATGACAGACTCGCCGGGTTGTTGGCAAAGGGGTGAGATAGAGCAGATGCCTCGGGACATTCTGCAGGGTCAGAGCTTACAAGCGCTGCAAAGGAAAAGCTCCTCCTCCTCCTCCTCCTCAATCACCACAACCACTGCTTCCTCCTCCTCCTCCTCCTCCTCCTCCTCCTCCTCCTCCTCCTCCTATACCTGAGCTCCATGGGGCTCGCCTTGGACCTGAGGTCAAGAAAGCTTAAACAACCATCCCTGCATCCGTTGGCTATCACGTTCCCTCCCTGCCATCGCAGAGTCAGAGATCTTGCCCTCCTGATCTCAACTCTCAGGAGACATTCTTCGGGAGGTACGACTGGGCCATGACTTCGGATCTGTACTGATAGAACCGCTGCTTACCCGACTGCAAAGACGAATGGTGAGGAGAAGGAAGGAAAGAAGGGGGGAGAGAGGATGAGAGGGTGGGAGGGGAGGAAGATCGCGGGCACGTACTGGGACGTCGAATATTTTCACTCCTTTGGATGAGCCTGCCGCCAGCTCCTCCTCTTTGGTCGGAGACCAGCAGCAAGTCCAAAACCTGCCGAGTCGGTCATGAAGGGGAAGGCGAGTAGCGGAGGAATCAGACGTCTCTCGTGCTGAGAACCACTGCCTCCTGTATCTGAACTCATCTGCTCCCCACGTCAACATCCGGGCCTCCCTCCTCCCCAACACCACGTGCTCACTCGTCTCGTAGTCGAAGTTCATGATGTGGATCCCTCCGGGCTGGCAACGAGTCAGAACAGCAGCGGCAGACATGCGCAGGACTCACTGATTCGCAGGAGACGATCGTGGTGGCAAAGATCTGAGAGCTCCGGTCGCTCCCCGCCGCCATCCCATCATCTGCCATGGGCTGTCAGAGCAAGGTCACAGCGGAAAGCAAGGCTGCTGTCACCTCCTTTGATCGCCAGATGCTTGCAGACGCAGTATGGAGATTTCTGCATAGAGGGTCGGATAAAATTTCTCCTCTTGTTAGCAGCAAAAGGACCTCACAGACTCTGAACTTGGGCTCGCTCTCTCCCTCACTATCAGCTTTCAACATGACGAGTCCCTGATCAGACTGATCAGAACACGAGCAAGCTTGTTGGAAGCTCCAGCACACCGATCTTCCTGCCATGAGCACATCCTCCCCTATCGTTCCTAGACCAACTCCGACGTATCCCTGGCACGCGCTCTGAAACCTGAAGCATCAGCAACAGCTCTCCCTGGTTCTTCTAGACTCGCCTCCGCGCCGTTCCAGGTCACTTCAACCTTCTTGGTCTGCAGCAGAGACAGGCTGGAGGACTGGAGCTTGTGCTGAGTGAAGGACCCCACCTACCCCGTCAACCGACTCAGCGCTGGAAAGGAACCCGTACGCATCGCACACCTCGCGCTTCTTGACGGACCGAAAGAGGCTGATGGAGCTGCTTGGTCTCTCCCTCTTCTCTCGATTGACACCCTCCTGCCTTGTGGAAACTTTAGACGCCTATACCGTCCTCCTCCTCCTCCTCCTCCACCACCACCACCACCACCACCACCACCACCACCTTCCTCCTTCTCCATCACCACCTTCCTCCTCCTCCTCCTCCTCCTCCTCCTCCTCCTCCTCCTCCTCCTCCTCCTCCCGCATCTCTACAGCCTCCATCTGCCGGTGTCTTCATCATGATCATCCTGATCTACCGCCATCTTGTCCTCTTCCTCCTCAGCATCACCAATACCTCGGCGAGTCGACGGTGCCTGAAGCTCTCGCACGGGTGTAGGCGGAGGAGGATACGACACATCCATCTTTGGGTATCGCAAAGTAGGCGTCGGCTTCTGCATCGTAGTAGAAGCCCGGTATGCTCCTCTTCATGGCACAGAGAGGAGCGAGAAAGGACAACAAAGTGAGCAAGGGCAAGACAAGCTGAAGGAGTACTGGAGCTGGGGCGCAGGAGCAGGAGCAGGAGCAGGAGCAGGAGCAGGAGCAGGAGCAGGAGGACGGGTAAGGGGCCGGGAGGAGGGCACGGTGAGTTGAGATGGGAGCGGCGGCGGGGGGGGCGGCAGCAAAACAAGGGCACAACTTTTTGCTCTTTGTTGACGAGGTTTTAGTCAAATTAGGAGAGAAGGAGGAAGAGGCGGAGGAAGTGGAACGCTGAGATGGGACGGGGTAGGATGAGGGTGACGAAGAGGAGGGAGACGAAGGAGGGGAGGGAAGAGAGGGAGAGGAGGGAGACGAAGGAGAGGAGGGAAGAGAGGGAGAGGAACGCTGCATGACACGATAAGGGGATGGACGGCGACAGCATGGGAAAGCATCGGCTGCGGACGTCGCCAAGGGAGAGCGGGGCAGAGGACCTGGTCCTGCCGATCTTCGTCAGCTGGAACGGGACCTTGCAGTCAGCCAATGTACGCCAGCATCAGCTGGTGGAGGAGATCAAAGAATTCCTCATGTGCGGGGAGGAGGTGCCGGCAGGGCACATGCACCTGGTCTACAACGGAAGGTTGGTCGACCCCGGCATGCGCGCAGCTGACCTCGACCTGCGCGAGGGCTGCGTCCTCCACCTCGTCCTCAACGAGAGCCCCTTCCGCGGGAGGAAGCTCTACGTGCGGGACCTCGGGAACCAGGGGGTCGTCCGATCCGTCAGCTGCAGCCAAGACTTCACCATCAGGGAGCTGAAGGAGGAGATAGCCTGCCTGCCTGACTCCCCAGCTGTAGACCAGCAGAGGATCGCCTTTGCGGGCAGGGAGCTGGAGGACGACTACACGCTGAGGGAGTACAACATACAGAAGCCGTCGGTCCTCCTCCTCCTCAGGAACGAGACGTCCTCCCGGGACCTCTCCTCCTTCCTGTCCTGCACTTCCCCCGAGAGCGAGGAGCTGAGCGTTCCCCTGGACTCAGTAATTAGGATGCAGTTCAGCTCCATCGAGCAGGACGAGTTTCAGTTCTGGGGGCAGATGCTCGGCTCCCCCGACATCAGGTCTCTCACGGCGAAAGAGTTCGAGCTCAGGAGGTGGGGGTCAAGCTCGGACATTCCAGGGGAGTTCGACTATGACGAAGAGGCCAGGGTCGTCACCTTCATCCCAGAGCAGCCGCTACAGGAGGCTTCCCACTACACCGTGTGCGTGAACAAGGCCAGAGCCAGGAACGAGAGCTACTTCTTCGACCCGGACGCAGGGCTCAACCCCTCCTACCCAACCTCACCAGGAGGAATCCTGCACAGTAAAGTGCACGAGCCTGTAGAGGGCTGCGTCACCTGGGACTTCTACACGGTAGGATACGTCCCTCTACGGGTGACGTCGATCTATCCCCGTCCGCACTCCACCGTGCAGGTACACAGCACGGAGATCAGCGGGGAGCAGGCAGAGGAGGAAGGGTCGGCCCATGGGGTCACCGCTGTGGGTGTAAGGAAGACGACAGTGCCGGTGGTGATCAGCTTCAGCGGCCCGCTGAGCCTCAACGAGAGCGTCAGGAGCTGGGTGACCATCCCCGGGTACGAGCTGCTCGAGCCTGTCTACGATCCTGCCAGCTACAGCCTCATCTATGAGATCGGCTCTCCCCTGCGAGGAGGAGAGTGCATTCGTGTACACGTTAACACGGGTTTGGTCCAGGGGAGCAGAGATGAGTCGCTGAAGGTGAGAATTCTTCAGAACCTTTAGACTGCCCTTCCTCCTCTTCCCTCATCTTCCCTGCTCTCCCCATCCTCCCCATCCTCCTCTTGCTCTCCCACTCCACCACTTCTCCTTCGCACCTTGTTTTCTTCTTGCCCTGCTGTCATTCTTCTGTCCCTTCTCCCTCCCCCTCTTCCGTCTTTCCTCGGCGTCAATGATGTCGATGCGTTTGCAGCCTCTACAGCAGGACGGGCTCTTCCGAACTGTAAGCTTCACATGGAAATTCTACACATCCGATCGGAGCATATATCATGTGAGCATGGGAGGAGGAGGAGGAGGAGGAGGAGAGGTCATTGTAATTGAGCTCCACAATTACTCACTCGTGCTATTACTGTAGAACGCCAACTTGAAAGCCTCGGGTCTAGAGAATGTTGTGCGAAGATGGGAGAACGGGAAGATCAACGCGACACAGCGAGGAAGGAAGAGGGGGACCGACGTGAAACTAGCGAACAGATCGACGGCCATGGAGGCTGCCATCCAGGCGGGGTTGACAAGCTCGCAGGCGGCAGGTATGAAAGGACATCACATGACTTCCTTGTAACGCCTTCGCCCTCAGCCGCAGCTGGGTACTCATCGGAGCAGACGCGAGAGCCAGCGAGAGTGTCTGCTGGTTCGATCGTCTCGCTGAGAACTTACATGGGCCAAGGTAACCGTTAGTCGCAGGACGTCAAATTCAATCGTCAGCGCAGTCAAGCAAGCAGGCATCGTCAAGGTGTCTTGTGCTGTTGCGCTCGTCTGTTGTGCTGAAGTTTGTTCGGCTCGCAGAATTTACCAGGCAGATGCAAACGTAACGGACGTGGAGGATCCGATGGGGAGCAGTCGGCCTCAGCGCCCAGTGTCGAGCAGCGAGGGCATGCTCGAGTCCCTTCAGAGCACTTTGAGCGACTTGTTTCAAGTGAAGCTCTTTTCATAGGCATCTCCTACCTTTACAAACTTACGGGAAACACCATTCATGACTCCCTCCATCATCATCTAGTCCGAGTTGTCGGAAGAAACAATCCGAGTAACCAACTTCATGGACTCGCTCACGTCGCCTTGCGGTGACCCCCGTTCTTGCCGAAGGATCGGCGAGAGACGAACACGAAGATGTAGTAGTCCGCAAGGCCATGCACTAGGAGAGGGAGGAAGAGTCCTCCTCCTTGATACTTGAGAGCCGACATGATCAACCCGAACAAGAAGGTGAGAAACACGCCTGCCACCCCGGATGGAGTTCCATGAATGTGCGCGAGTCCGAAGAAGAACGACTGGGTCAGGTCTGCCTCCATGTCGCTCATCCCGGCCTGCCGCAGCTCGTACGCAAACAACCCTCGGCTGAGCCCTTCCTCGCACAACGCGTTCAAGAACCCCAGGAACAAGCAGAGGAGATGTCCCTGTAAGGCTCGTGAGCAGTCCTTGGCAGCAGAGCAACTCTAAAGACCTACCTTGAGGCCCAACTTAGCCTGGTACTTGTCTCCAAACTTCGCCATGCCTGCATGTGCCCCCCGAGATCTTGCCAGGGTGGACCACAGATGAAGGGCGAGAAAGGTGACGCCGGAGACTGCGATGGAGCAGGTGAGCATGAAGAAGCTCGGCGCGGGACCCATTTCCATAGAGGAGGGGGTTGAGAGGAGGATAAAGAGGAGCTCGATGGCCTTGTAAGAGCCCGGGCCCAGGGGACCTGACTCGCCGATGAGAACCTTCGGGGTCTTGACTAACAATCGCTCTGGTAGCAGTCGCGGCCAGAGGGCCATGATGTAGACCACCGCGTTCAGCAGACATGTATTGTACCTGGCGAAGTAGAAGGAAAGACAGCTGATGGCTACCACAGCAGCTCTGGGGAGTCTGGAGAAGATGACCGTATGCGTTCCGCTGACGCAGAAAAGGAGCAGGAGGGTCTTGACTTGGAGCTCTACCATCTCTTGCAGCAGAACCTCTGTTCCCTTGCTTCCTGCCTCGCTTATTGTATCGAGAGAATTCTCCTTCAATCTACTCGATCCCAATCTTCTTTCCACTTCCAATTTTTACTATCATTCACCAGCTTGCCAGGACCACCCGAATACTGCTTCACCCTGAATATCTTGTCATCATCGCTTCTCACAAAGATTCTTCTCCTCGCTCTTTCACCTTCACCTTCTACTACTTCTACCTCCTCGCATTTTATAGAACGCAACTCCGCGCAACTCTCTGTCTCCGTACGTCTTGTTTGAGTCATCACCCCCCGTTATGATACAAAAATGTAGTAAAGAATACCCCTCCTTTATCATGACCACCCCATTAATCCCATCAATCGCGCAGTACCCCTGGTTGTAACTGTTTTAGAGGTATGCTGACAGTCCACTTTTGGCTATGTCAACTTCGCCGGATAGCTCAGTTAAAGAGCCTCGGATCGCCCCCCCAAGTTGACTTATTCCCCGGGCCCCGGGCCGGCTGGCTGATCCGAGTCCCGGGGAGCGCAGCGGCACTGCAGCGGATCCGATGATCCCACACAGTCTAGGGCAGGGGGCGAGGCCGGGCCGACTCAGCCCGGCCAGTTAACCAGTCACGCGGGCGCTGAGGGTTGGGACTGAAATGTCATGATGTATCTTACTTGAAGTTAAGAATAACAAGCACTCCACGTTCAAGACAAAAACAGATTTCCGATGACTACCGCGGCACCGCAGGCGCTTGACACAAGCCGGGTCATCATCTGGCCAGCTTCAAACGTTCACCGTGCCTGCTAGACCAGCTCGACTTTCTGCTGCTCTACAAGGGAAGCGATATCGCTGCTCAGATGTCAAACCCACTCTGCATCTCGACTCCACCAACCTGAACTTCATGCAGACGAAATCTCCTGAGTTCATCTCCAACTCGGCGTCCCCCACCTGTGTGCGCTCAAGTCATCCGGGGAGCCTTAAAGTTGAGTCTCTCACTTGTACATCACCCAAATCTTCTAGGACGTGTACAAATACGTGATTATCGACTTCCGGCTGTATGAAATCACCATCTACCAACATGGGCACTCTGACCAGACCTTGACGATCATATATTGAAGGTTCAACTTCTGCAGCTTCTCGGGAATGCCGGACAAGAAACCTGAAGCATCACAGTCATCCAAGAGAAAAATGGGAAGTTCGCACAACAATTGTTGAAGTGCTTCTCGAAAAGGTCTGTGAACTGTTCGCAGAACTTCTGCTCTAGCGGCGACATCATGTCGAATCTGATGAATATGTGAGGAAACGAGAGTCCGACGGGGTCAACCACTCACTCTGACTTGTTGGCTAGAAGATGGGCATGAAATTGCTGTATCTTTTTCAATCTTGAAACTATCTCAGCACCATAACACGATGATATGCATCGGACGTCAATCACCTATCACGATGGTACGAGTTCAACCTGTGAAGAGATCAGCAGGGAGTACTACGATAAGGAGATCCGTACATGAATTTTATCCTGATGGTCCAAAGTAGGAATTCAAGTCGATCAGTCAAGGGGTGAAATACTGAGGAAGGAAGAATTCTAACCTGTCAAGCTCAAGCTCCAACAAGCTGATCATAAAGTCTGTCGTGCTGCCCAGGCTGTCAAGACCCGAAAATCTTAGCCTCGACCCTTTCACCTGTCTTTGCTCATTTTGCGAAGCTCTTCGATGCATGAGTCTTGGTCCTGCGAACGATCATCATGCAACATAAAACACTTCACATTCTTACTTTGATGGCTAGGTCGACAGTTTCTACCAATTCTTTCTCTGCAATCGAAGCATATAAATAATCTTGCGAATGCAAAGCAATGCAAAGCGATCAAAATGCATCTCACCATAAGGTAGCAAAGTGGGAGAACAGCGCTCATTCCTCCAAACCTTCACAGTGACGTGATTATGACAACAAGATAATCATCATTATTTGACTATCACCCTTTTCAGAAGCAGATCGTATGATGTTTGATCGTCGTCATTGTTTACGTAATCCATCCTGTATCTATGAAAACATTTCAAGTCAGCGGGAAACAATCTTTGTCTCACAAATTTCTCTGTGTCTCCGTTGATTCTTTGTCTTATCTCTTCTTTGCGTTGCCTCCCTCGTCCCTACCTGATCTCACTCCAATGATTTACTTCCAAACTTATCTTTTCTCATCTTTCCTCCCCACATCTTCTCCTGCATGCCTGCTCCTCTCTTCCTCCTTTCCTCTCTCCTGCCTTCTCGATTCCCCATTCCTCGTTTCCACTTGCTCTGTCCGAACCGGTCCTCCTTTCCCTCTCAACCCTCCGCGCCATTTCCCTTCATACCTGTTTTCTGCTACCAACATTATACATGTCTATATTCAATATATTCTTCACCCTTTTTTGTAAAACGCAATAAATTTGATTATGAGATTTACTGCGACAGATATATTTCGAACAAAAACAATTGGAAAGGCGCGGTGTAGCAATTTGGCGGGAGATGGCGGGAGTAGCAGCAGGAGATGGAAGAGGCGACCAGGAAGATGCGCGTAGAGAAACAGCGAACACAGAGATATGCAATCACATCGAAGAAAGATGCCATGAATGTTGGAGTATAAAAGGGGAGCAAGTATCGCTCTGGGACGTGCATGAAAGGTGCTGAGTAGATTTCACACAATTTTCATGTTTCGCTCCCCTGCACACATCATCTTGTTTTGAATCTTCCCATGCACGACTCATGTCCAATCTCTTCATACGTGCCCTATTTATTTGATTATGAGAAGCTGAGAGAAAAGGTGTTTATGATATGTTCGTTGTGGGGATTTGATGCAAAATTGTGAATCGTGTGCTTGTCTCATTGTTCATTGATCATGACGATTCATATGCACGACACTGCAACAGTCCAACATTGAAGACTTGCTGTATTGAATTCTGCGTCTCGTGCTTATACATGTCATCGCAATATCACAGACAAGCAGCATAATTGATACAATGGAGTACATGTGAACGAATAAATGAGTGATCAAAGACGGTTCGAAACGATCTTTCTGCACTCTAGCCCTTGCAAGCACCTGCCAGTAGAGTTGACGTCTACTTCCATCACGACTTGGTCCTTGGCGCCAACGTGGATGAGTCGATGATAAGAGCAGTACAGGAGGCCATGCCAGCCATGAGCTTGTTGAAGGTGACAAACTGATTGCTTCCGTCCTGCAACTGAGTTAGACGTCTCAGACACGTAAAAGTCTCTTACAGTGGCAGACGAGACGATTGAATCCATCAAAGAGACTGACGGACAGCTGAAATCCCAGTGCCTGGCAGGCCCTCAGGGGGGAGGAGAGGGCGATGGAGATTACTTGCTGTTGATAATAGATTTGATGCTCCACATCAGAGAATTTCGGTCGAGCTGTGAGGAACGGACGTCAACTGTGCGCATCAATGCAGACGGGATCACCTGGAGCGTGCTTGGGGGAAACTGGTCTTTCACTTGTGCGATGAACTCCGAAAATACAAAGAGAATCTGTTTGAATGTACTTGAACCTCTCATGAGATATATTCGCTCTTCACCTGCCAATATGCTGCAATCTTCTTGTATGGAAACAAATTCTGAGTGTTTCCTGCACAAAATTTTCTCACAACCGCATTCCGAAAAGTGAATCCCATTGCACCAGAGGCTTCTCGCAGCAACTTTGTAGCATCGTCGTGGTGTTGCGTCGGAAAATCAGGACACAACAAAGATACCTGGGCTTGCAAAGATCAAGAGGAGGAAGCCCTCGTCACAACCATGTCCTGACCAGCTGGAAATGATCGTTGCAAGTCATCAGCTTGTCTAGGTCCTCACGTCAGTAATGCTCCTCCTCTGATCACCACAAGGACCTTCACTGGTGTTCTGATACGCCTCTACCGTCATCCTCACAAATGCCAGCCGGTTTCTCGGGGTAGCATTGACGAACTCAAACTCTCGCAGGAGGACATGATCGCCCTGCAGGATGGTTGGTACGACAGCGTGCACGGAGGGGGGGGGGGGGGATGGAAGGGAGGGGGAGTAAAGGAAGGGAGGAAGGACAAGGGACGGGGAAGGCAAGAGAAGTTCACCACTAGGACAGAATTGAAGTAATTCAGAAGGCCTTCCAGAGGCTTGTCGTCCCCTGCATGTCCATGAGAATCAAAGGAGGGGAGGAGACAGATTGAATTCACTGTTGTCCAGAATCTGACGAATGGCGTCCTGAATGTAGACATGGATGTGGTATCGCTCTACAGAAAGGAAGCTCCCGTTCAAACATGGGGGGATCACGTCAAATCTAATGGCTCACTTATGAATTGATCGGGGGTTAAATTGAATCGCTCATCGTCCTGAAAGGTGTTAGTCGTCAGGGAATCACAGGGAACCATAAAAAATGTGATGGCAAGAAAAAATCATGTGAAGTATGGAAGTGAAGTTTGAGAAGGAGAAAGAGAAGGAAATGGAGGTAGAGATGGATATGGAGATGGATATGGTGATGGTGATGGTGATCATGAACAAGTGGGCAGGGATTACGTTTGGGGTCATCATTGAAGCAACCCTTACCATTTTCTTCCTGTGAGAAGGGCTAAAGAGCGGGGATCCTGAAGCCATGTCGTCCCTGTGCCGATGGGGTCTCAGAGCTGATCTGAGCAGGTGTGGCGGTGGGGATCAGTCTGAAGGGAGACACGATGAGCAGGTGATCAGACGGGGGGCAGACGAGGCTGCTGCTGCTGCTGCTGCTGCTGCTGCTGCTGGATCCCTGGTGCTGAATCTCCTTTCTCGGTTTTACTCAAGACAGCCCACAAACCCGCCTCAGGTAGAGACACAACACTTTGAAGGGCGGACATTCGGCGGCGGCTGAGTCCCGGGTCCCCCGCCGGGCCGCCGGGCCGCCGGGCCGCCGGGCCGCCGGGCCGCCGGGCTACCGGACCGACACCGGAAGCCTGTTGGACTTGGACTAGAACTAGCGCTGAAACGAGTGAACTATGCTCAAAGTTTTGTATTCACTTCAGTCGTCGAGCACATTCCTGCAATTCTTGTATGACGAATGCTTTCTGTACATTGCGGTGGACGAGAGGCTCCCAGTGAAAATACCTGAAAATACCTCCAGATCAGTTGCGCCATCACATGTTGCAGCATCGTAGATACGGCAATGAGACGAGGTTGTATCCCAGCGCCCGTACTTGCTCGTGCTTGAGATTCTGCCGTGTAAAATCAGGACAGGGTGCAGCAAGTAGGGGATGGAGTATTGTACCGTCCCGCCCATCTCAGTCTCTTGTCTCCATGCGAAGTGCGAGGGTCCGTCGACCTTAGCAAGGGGTCAGGGCAAGAGACGACTTGCATCCTCTCAGGGGTTCACTTCGACGACAAGGTTGCAAGAAGGGATGTAGATGTCGAAGGAGTATCCCGATCGTTCGTCTATGTGCTCCTGCGGTGTCCACGGTCAGCACGGGAGGGATGCATTGCACAGCGCCAGGACCGAGAGGATCCAATCGCAAGCTTCCGCCGCTCCTGTCTGAACAAGTCTCGAGCCGAAGATGGCTTCGACCTGTTGGAGTCATGACAAGTCGCCAAGAGAGAGAGTCTGACAAGCTCACCGTGTTCTGGCCAATGTCCCTGAGGACATGGATGACCTCGGAATGGAAGCGAGAAGACTCAGTCAAGGCTCTGAGCTGACGAGACTCTGTGATGAACGCTTGCTTGCAGAGCAGATGTGTCGACTCCTCTATCGAGTGGGTCAACGAGCGGACCTCCCTTGGTGAGTTGGAATTCCCGTAGAATGCTCTGAAAACCTCCTCCCTGGTCACATTCAAGCACAGGTTATTGTACAGGAAGAACTGGTGAACTTGGCTGAGCCCGGGGTTGGTCAGAGACTTCATCAGGGTGTCCAAGGCTCGCCATATCCAACACAAGAGGGCAGGATCCTCGCTCTCAATCACCGCCGCGCTCCATGCTATGTTCGCCGCTGCCTGAGGTGAAACCTGACGCAGGGGGATGCGCAGAAGCTTGGAGGTGAGGTGAGAGGTCAAATCGTCCAGCCTGAAGTTGAGATTTGCGTAACAGTACATGAAGGTTGCGATTGACTGCACGTCAAGGCTGGCAGTTGGCAAAGAAAGAATCTCCTCCGATATAAGTTCGAGCAGCACGGGGTCGGCGATGTTACAGGCTGAGAACGAACTCAAGAGCGCCGCAACCTTCTGGGTGGTCTGAAGATTCCTTGACTTCAGGATACTTTCCCTGTCACGATGCCGAAGAATGAAGATTGCAGCTTCTGTCATGAGCTTCAACACCTCGTTCCGGTGGCAGCGGTTGTCTACGATCATTTTTTCGATCCTGCTCCGCGAGAACGCAGACAGGATGTCAGTGCAACTCTGCACATCGAACTTGTGAGGAGGATTCAGCAGTATAGCTTTGCAGAGGCAGTTGAGAAGCTCTTCATCTGACTCCAGGAGCCTCGCCTGCGAAAAGGACCTCACGAGCAACCCCAGCGATCTCGTCCCAAAGTGCTCTGGTGGGATCTTCTTCAGCAGCATCGACACCGTCCGAAACAATCTCAGGTGAGAACTCTGGTGGAGAACATCATCAGTGCTTCTTGCATACGCTGCCGCTATCATTGAGAGCGTCCGAGCCGTGAAATCGGAAGTTCTGTTGGTCAGCATGGAAGCCTGAGCCCTTGACCGCAGTACTTCAGAAGCTGAAGTGAAGAGAGCTGCAGAAAGACGGTCTTCCTTGGCCCTCTTGGCGGTGGCTGTCAGTGCCATACTGATGTGCCTGTTATCCAGCTCCTCGATGCGCTCGAGGACATGGCTGACAAGGGTTGTCGAGAGCACTCCTGCCTCGTCCCTCGCTCCCTTCAAGTCAGCTTGAGTTTTCACATCGTTGTCGTTGGTCCTGGAGAACTTGTACATGATGTTGAGAGCTATCGCAGCATCACGGGCGGAGAGCGACCATTTTGACTCGTGGATCAACGGCTTGACTAGTCGGATCACTTCGTTCAGGTCGCTGCAGCGCCTGAAGTCTGGCAGACGATCACCAGTATCCATCCTACCACCCTCATGGGGCTCTTCTGCGAGGGCTGAACTGCTGCGACACAGCGTCCTGCTGAAATCTCGTAAGCGAGACAATGCAGGAGCGACTGGACGGCGTTGGAAGGAGAGCCTGAGCGGTATGGGCAACGAAGACTGGGCCGGCAGGGATCGGCCGCATTGTGAAAGCTGTAGCGTACAGACAGGCCTCAAGGAGGAGGAGGGGGAGGAGGAGGGGGAGGAGTAGGAGCAAGCAGTGCCTCTAGTACGGCTCACAATCAACAGAGAGAAGGCAAGACATGAAGTTTCGGGTCGATCTGGCGAGTTCGGCAACGGAGGACCATTTGCTGACATCTTTTGACTGAATGTCAGCCCCACCAGAAGGAGGCAAGCCGCCATGAAGATTTTCGTTCTCATCTTCTAGCAAAGAAGGAAGACGGGAAGAGGAGGAAGGAGCGTATGTAGCTGACACCGGCGTCCTAACTCCTTCTTCGCCTCCACTTCTCCTCGAGAACCCCGCAGCACAACCAGTCGTAAGAGATTGCAGTCGAGTATTCTATCCTCCTTAGCTCATGGGCCTCGATCACCCCCGCAGCCCGCAGCGCTCACGTGTGCATGGTGACCTGCAGTGGCTCCTGCTGCTGCTGCTCTCCCTCCTAGCAGAGCTCCGCCTCCTCCCCGACCATCGCACGCTCTCCCTTTCGCCATCCATGGCGGGGGGGTAACAATCCCTGATGTCGCCAGGGGTGGTATACGTTTTGGTCCAGTACGGGGTACTTATCGGTAAAGTGAAGGGGTGGGGTAGGCGACTGCGGATCCCACCAGGAAAAGAGCTACGACTCTGCAAGGAATGAAGAAGAAACGGGCATGGCAAGAAGGAGGAAGGAGGAAGGAGGACAGGAGACAGGAGGATAGAGGAGGACGAGAGTGTTGAGAAAGGGTTGGTGTGCAGAGGAGAGGACTCGGTGAGAGCAGACGAGAGCGCATCTCGGACTGGGGCGACATGAAACGAAAAGGTGTCAAGTTGGCTGAATGAACAACGCACGGGGTGTAAGTTTGACATAATCGCAAGGGGGTCAGTTAAAACTTGAGGGGCAAGCGACCATCTCCACCAGCAGTATGGGGCTCCTAGCCGAACTGCTGGTGGCTGCCTTGCTGATAATGGGGATGCGGGGAGAAGGGAGGGAAGAGGGCAGAATGGGAGGAGGAAGCGATGTCAGAAGGTCAGTGCAAGACAGCATGATCTACATCAGTACAAAGGTTCCAGAGATAGAGGCCAACCAAGCTCACACTTTCCCGGTGCATGTTGGAGGCTTGATCGACGGCTTCCAGTATCGCATGCTCCTGATAGTCTCCCAAGGGGGGGAGTTTGTGCATGCAGAGGAGAGAATGATTGAGAATGTCTCTGAGGTACACCCCACACTTCCTCCTCTGCAGCCCAGCATGAACGAGTACGCGGTCTCAATCTCCATCTTGGATCCTTCGCTGGATCGGGACAAAGAGGAAGCACTCCTGGCTCGGCTGATAAGGCACATCAAGGTTTCCAACAAGGAAAGCTCAGTGAAAGCAAGCAGGAGGGACTGGGACTGCCAGACTGTTCTGGAGACGTATGATGCTGCCAGCGATACCAGGTGTGAGTCAAGGGCTGCAGCCGCTGCAAAGGTGGCAGCGGCGACAGTCGGAACTGTCGACCGAGCAGTCGTGATTTACAACCTTGCGCATCGATGGCGGGGCCCGTTGTCTGTTGTGTTCTACACCTCTACAGAGGAGGAGAGAGAGATTGTGAGAACGTTTGTGAGGGAAGAGCTTATCAGGGCGTCCAAGTCCTACTGCAAGAGCTTGTGGGTGCAGCTAGTCTCCGACTGCAAGGACAAGAACCAACCCGACGATCAGTTCAGTTTTCCTGTGAACAAGCTCAGGTTCGAAGCGATCAACGTACTCCCCCATGACTATGTGCTTTACGTGGATGCGGATTTCTTGCCGTCAGACAATGCTCTTGTCGAGATAGAGCGAGGGCTCAAAGAGTTTGATGAGCTTGAGAGTGCGCTCCTGGTAATTCCATGCTTCATGTCGGATGCCGATGCAAGTTGGCCTCGGCCGGTTGAAAGTCGAAGAGGAGAAGGAGGAAGAGGAGGAAGAGGAGGAGAGGAGAGCGAAGATGAGACTTGGGAGGTGCCGAGCATCGACCTGTCAACTCTGAAGCTTCACATGAAGGGGAGGAAGGTCCGACCGCCTGGCGCCCCCTTCAACATCCTCTCCCATGGCGCGACGGACTACGCGCGATGGCTGAGGGTCAACGGGACTGGCAGAGCATACGAGGTCAGCTACAACATGTGGTACGAGCCCTACGTAGTGGTGAACAGAAGGTTGTGGGGGGGGATGAACGGAGGAGGGCTCTTCGACGATCGTTTCGCCTTCGCGTTTGCTGACAAGGTCCAGTTGACCTACGAGGCAGCTGTCATGGGGTACCGCTTCTTCGTGCTACCCAGCGTCTTCCTCATCCACGTCCCGCAGGCCGCAGGCTTCAGATGTCTGCCGTCCAGCCCCGAACTCTGCGCGCTGAGCTCCAAGGATGTCGGGTGGAGAGCAGAGAACGTTGGCTTCCAGGCGAGCTTCGACCTGATCCACTTCATCCTAGACCTCCCAGTATGGGAATCGAGACCTTCGAAGCCGAGGAGCCGGCCCTGCTTCCTGCCCCCTTACAGGATCCTGCGGGACTTGAGCACCAAGGAGCTTCTCTCCATCCTCATCCCCGACTACTCGACGAGATCCAAAGGATGGAGCTGCTGCTTCAACGTCTGCGAGCATCTGCCAGTGAAGTTGCTCCACTTTGCTCACGCCTTCCTCGAGCAGAACCTGCTGGACCCTGATGACGCGGCGACTGCCCTCCAGCACAGCGAGGCGCTCCGTGTCGGGATGAGGAAATGGTGTGCTGACGTCACCCCGTTGTCAGGGTACCTGGTGAACACTCGCCAGGCTCAGATTGCGCTGGAGAGGCTGGTGCTGGAGGGAGGGCAGGGTGAGGCCGGAGCCTTCACCCACTACCTGGAGGAGGAGGGAGTGGTCACCATGCTGAAGCCTGTGCGCGAGGAGGGCGAGTTTCTCCTCCTGCATGCAGACAACCTCCCCTCCTGCGATCTTGTCGGGCCTGTTTACAGGTGCCTCATCACGACAGTGGACAACTCGACTGGGATGAATGGATTCGGGGTGAGAAGGACAGCATGGCTGGCTCCCTCCAAACCTCCTGCTGCAATCGAGCAGCAGCAGCAGCAGCAGCAGCAGCAGCAGCAGCAGCAGCAGCAGCAGCAGCAGCAGAAGGATGGAAGGGCTACTCAAGGATGGAAGAAGCATTCCGAGGAAGTCAATGTGAATCTCAACGTCGACGTCGAAGGATCCCTCTCGTGCCGGCCTTTCTCGCTGCTAGTGCGGGCTCGGGGCCTCCTGCCGATGGTCCAGTACCGGATGGAAACTCACCTCTACGAGAAGTACTCAGGTCGGACTTACTTCTCCAACGTCTCCCAGCTGAAGTTTGTGGGAGAGGAGGAGGAGGAGCTCGCCTACGAGTTCAGCTATCAAGTACCCAGGCTTGCTGGAGGAGATTTTACGCTGACTTGCCGGCTGTTGGATGAATACCCTGACCTCGCTCCCGGCGAGGAGCTCGTCGGAGCGAGGACCCTCGCCCTATTCGTCGATGCTTCCTCCTCGGATTGCCAGCAGAACACAGCAGGAGCGGATCAGGAGGTCGACAACTCGCGCAAGCAACCAGTGGAGGAGAAGGTGGAGGAGAAGGTGGAGGAGGTGGAGCAACAGGAAACTAGAGAGCATGTATGTGCGAGCTCGGAGTGGTGCGTGGATGTTGTAACTTCACCAACCATCGCCAAGAGCATCGCAAGGCTTCGTCGCCTTACTCGTGATCCTCTTCCTCTCCCGCTAAGGTCCATCTCGATGCCAGAGATCGAAGACTTCCTGGCTGCTAGGGACGAGACCGTTGCGGAAGCGAGAGGAGCAAGACAATTCACGGACCCACCTTCGATGCATGTGGAGGACAACTACATCCCCTCCTACGAGGAGAGCCTGTACAAGTTCTGGTCGATGCTCCGCCAGGGAACACCCTTCGCGCTCCTGCGCTTCGGGGATGGGGAGCTCGCGCTGCTGAACGGGGAGAGCTACCAGTGAGCTCCAGCATTGTTCGTTCCCTGCTCCTCCCTTGCTCCCCCCTTGCGGAGGATTGAAACCCCTGTGCTAATCGACGCGAGCAGGTCGAGGATCGACGTTGTTCAATGGTCGTCCCTCTCTAGCGACAGGGAGAGGGAGAGGATGAAGCTTCTGCTCGCGGACGCGTTCGCGCTCGCTCAAGGATGCAGCGCAGCTCCTGTCCTCAACAGCAGCTGCGTGTACCTCGGACTTCCCGTCTACTTCTGTGCTGAAGGGACAGAGACTTATCTCAAGGGTGGAGGAGGAAGGTGTGGGCGGAGGAATCTGAACCGGGGGGGGAGGAGAAGGGAGGAGGGGCTGACGGGAGGAGCAGGTGGGAGTGGCTGGAGTCTTACTACAAGCAGCCGGCGATCGCAAGTTACCTGGAGCGGACCCACATGAGGTTCTTGACTCAGAGCTGGCTGTGGGGCAACCTGAACTATCAGGTCTTGCGCTCCTCTCCGCTCCCTTTTCCTGTCCAGCTCGTCTCTCCCCCTCCTTCCCGCCCCCTCTCCTTCCCCTGCTCCTGGCTGACTGGCCCCGGTGCGCTGTGCTGCAGACAACGTTGGACATGCTGGAAGATGTCGGGAGATATCGAAGAATCATCCTAGTCTGCAACGAAGAGATCAGAGGTCGCTCCTCCTTCGACGATCTTCCTAGTTGGATCTCAACGATCCTCACGGTTCCAGGGGAGGGACTGCGCTGGTAGTCTCCCGCCATCCCTGCGTGCTCCTGCTAAGATGCTCCTGCTGTCCAGGTTCTCTGCCAACTTCGATCAAGTCGTGGACCAGGCGGCATGGCTGGCGAGCAGCGTGAACGACTGCGTCTTCGCCTTCGCCGCCGGGCCCATCAGCAACCTCCTGATCCCAGTGATGTGGCGAGCAAACCAGCACAACACATGTGAGTCTTGGAAGAGGGGGGAAGGAAGAGAGAGGAAGGAGGGACTAGCAGGGGAGAGAGGAGGAGAGGTTGGACGAGGAGGTTAACTTTCTTTGTGGCAGATGTTGACTTCGGCGGGACTCTCGACCTTGTTGTTCTCGGAAGGTCGACGAGGGACTTTCACCCCGACACGTCCGAGGGGGAGAAGACATGGGTGAAGGCAGGAGGAGCGTTGCAGCCAGGTCAAGAGTGCAGCCAGGTGCGATGGTCTATCCAGATGCGACTTGGTTCGATCGACCTGCTGTCGCTGTCTCCGTGAAGGACGTGTCCTTTGGGCAATCAACTTGTACACATGAGAGATGATTGATGGATGGTGTGGATTTCCATCTTGTAGATTATGACGCTGGGAAGGAAGTGGTACGTAAAGTTACACCCGAATGGCTCGAAAGCATTTTCAACGTGGTGAAGATAGTAGTTTGATCGCAAAGATTGGAGTGACGAGTAGACGGTAATTGTTTCATAAGATCTTCCTGGGGATGTGACCAGTTTCCTGCTCCTCGGCTCCTGCCCTTCGCTTCCCTCCTGCTCCTTGCTGCCTTGGGGCGATGAACAAGTTTGTGCAGTCAGTGCTGGGGGTAGTCTACACACTCAAATCACGGGTGGACCGAAGAATTTCATTAAAAACTAGGGGTCACATGGAAGATTTTTTCTGGAATTTAGGGGGTGGGGTATAGTGAGAGGGGGATGGGGTGGGGGTTATAAAGAGCGCTCCATGCGCACCACGCTGCTGGCTTGCGTGTTGTTGAGCGAAGCTATCCTCCCTTGCCGCTCCTTCCTACTCCGAGGCCCGTCGCACCTTCCCCGAACCTCTCTCCATCACAAGGCCCTCAGGCTCTCAGGAGGATCCTCGTCGCGCAGCAGCGTCTCCTTGTCAGCTCGTAGCTTGTCGGCCAGCGCGGAGATGGCCAAAAACGTGCTGGGGGGAGAGCTGCAGTGCTGCTGCACCTCCCCTAAGACTGGGTTCTACAGAGACGGGTTCTGCAACACAGGACCTCAAGACACTGGCCGTCATGTTGTCTGTGCTCAGGTTTCTGATGTGATTCACCTTTGTCGCGTGATCTCATGCGTCCTTCAGGTCACTGCTGAATTTCTGAACTTCTCGAAGTCCCGGGGCAACGATCTCATGGTGATCTTCAAAGCTCCTGCTGTCCATTCTTTGGCTTCTACCCTAGCCTCTCTGACATCATCAAGAGATCGTTGAGCGCTGAGTGTTTTTCCAGTCCCCAGCACCCATGTTCAGCTTCCCTGGCCTCAAGCCTGGAGACAGATGGTGCTTGTGGTATGTCATGATCTTCACCATCATGTGCTTGCAAGTGACATCAGACAGCGCTTCTAGGTGGAAAGAAGCCTACGATGCCGGGTGCGCCCCTCCAGTTTTCCTCGAGGCGACGCACGAGAACGTGCTCAAGTTCGGCATTGCCCTGGAGGACCTCAAGAAGCATGCGATCCCTTACGTGGGTTCTTGAATATTCTCCTTGTAAGTTTGGATGTCTTCTTGTACAGAGACATCGTGCATATAGAGATCCATGTGTGCTCTCTAGATGGGAACGGGCCACTGGTTTCCCTCCCGGGATGTTGGTTCGAGTGAATGCTTCTCCCTCACTGCTCTGAAGGGAAAATAGGGTAGGGAACATGTCTCCATGGACGAGATTCGATCTTGTTGGATTGGTAAGAGCAGAACCGTCATTCTCACCCACTTTCACCTTCATGGAAGAACCCTGTACATCCGCCGGAGGCGGCCTCCCCGGTCCGGGCGGTCACTACTGAGACAGTGCCGCGCACGTGATGAATCGGTAAAGGACCTTCACCTTCATGAGTAGCTCAGTTGTCAGACCCCGTTCACAACATCGATCCCGTTGGATCCCTCTTGCAGCCCCAGCTGTTAAAACTCAACGATACTACTGAACCGGAGCAGCATGACACATTGTTCAGAATTTGTCAGATTGGTCATGAATGGTCACGAAGACCATGCTCTTGTGCTACAAGTGGTGGGCCCCCGAATCTTCTATACATTGTAGACAGAGTCTTTCGATTTCTTGGGCTGTTTGCGTTGCCAGCGAGGCTCTTGGCTATTCCATGTCTTTCCGCATGATCAGGCTCAACAGTTTGATAGGCAGGCTGGGTTATTCTTTTTACAGGAGCGGACAGGTGAATCAGCAAGATCAAGGGTTGTACAGCAGAGGACTCAGACTCGCTGTGGTTGCTCAGCCATGGGGCCACTCAGAGCTATCGTCTTGTATTCTGTTGGTTTGAAAATTTGAAGACACACCTCTCCAAGCCCGTGGCATGCACACAGAGAGAGGCTGAAGAGAAGTGAGGTAGGAACAGTACATCCAGCTGCTAGCCGCTCCTTCCATCCTCACATGTCGTCCTTGCGGGTTCACTTCATCCTCACAGCGATCATCTTGACAGGCTGGAGGGGGTTGTCGTTGGGGTCGCAACTGCCAAAGGAAAGTCAAACCTTCCCGCTCGAGAGACAAGCTCAGTTGAGGCCTGACCGGACAGCCTCGATCTTCTTAACGACATCTGTCCCTGAGATCACCTGCACCAAGGTCAGACGTCCCAAGTGACAGTCGGAAGGAGTCAATCAAGAAAGGTTCCCACACCTTGCCAAAGACGGGATGGGCGGACTCCGTGCTCTTGTCAAACCTGCCGGGGTATCACTCAGGACGTGGCTCGCAGACTAGAAGTACAAACCAGTCGAGATAGGAGTTGTGGACGGTGTTGATGAAGAACTGAGAGCCTCCGCTGTTGGGGCCGGCGTTGGCCATGCTCAGGGTGAATGGCTCGTTGGAGAGCTGGGATTCCCAAGATCAGAAATCAAAGAGATGAGTCTCATCACTTGATCCTCGACAACAAGTTCTCAGAAATGAGAAATGAGAAATGAGAAACGAGAAATGAGAAATGAGAACATTTCTAAGAAGTCTAAGAACAATCGTTCCATAAACAGAATGACATGTCCTCACCTTGACCGTGTGCTCGTCGGGGATCGACCCCTCCTGATTTCTCTTCATTACTCCCTTGCCCGGCACCTGGGCTGCTTCAGGTAGTGCGCTTTTTACCGGTTGATCGTCACCTCATAAGTGGAGTTGGGGTTAGGACCGCCAGTGCCGTTCCTTGGGTCCTTGGGGTTCTTGGAAAATGGGCAGCTGTTTCCAAACATGTCAATGAAGCAAAATTTGCGTGGGGGGGGGGGGGGGCTGGGGGGAGGGGGCTTCACCCGAACTGAAGCATGAACTCATTGATCCTGCCACATCCAGTCACATCCTCTTGGATTCAGGGAGATGCGGTCATAATTACACGCGATGGAAGTGCAAGCCATCGTAGAACTTGTCCTTCACGAGGGAAATGAAGTTTCCTGGCCATCACATTCACCCCCTGCAAGGGAGAGGAGAAGGGAGGAGCGGCAACAAGGCTCAGACCTGAAGTCAACGGCATCTTGTCCATGTAGATCTCTGCTTCGAAGTTGCCCATCGAGGTCTCAAACACAACCACCTGTGTGCGCGCGAGTTCAGAGACGTGCCAGCATTGCACTGCCTCCTTACCGGATTCGCCATCGTTGCGTCGACCCTTGCACCCCATTCCCGTTACCACCCCTCTTTTCTAGACCACACCCCCACTATATCTCATAAATCTGTCTGTTCTGGACGGGTACTAGAGATCAAGTACCGGTGGTCCGGAGGGTGAACCGGGAGTTGGGGACTACTAAAGGCCGTTCCAAGTGCTGCCCTTGAGATCACCTAGAAGTGCTGTAGGAGATAATCTCTGCCCCAAAATCAAATACTACGGGTACTTTTCAGCAAGAAATTACCCGTACTTGTCGGTTCTTCTGGGCTTGAGCGGGGAAGTGGTTCAGGCGGATCTCATGGTTGGAGTGGAGGCGGCGAGGACGAAGAGAAAGCGAGAGGACGGAAGGAGCAAGGAGAGGGAGGAAATGAAAGAAGACATGGAGTCAATACGCAATGAGCACGAGAAGAGGAGGGGAAGGAGTAGAATGCCTCCATGTAGAGGCTCCAGCACAGGCTCATTCTTTGTCGGCAGGCCATGAATCATCGCAACGTATGGCTGAGCCGAGTTTTCCGAGCGGCTGTAACGCTGCTACCTGTGTCTCTGGTTTGCCTTGACTTTCTTGCGTCACTTGTATGTCTGAACCGCTCTGCAGCAAGGAACTTGCGCCTTCCACGCGTCTTCCATTGCTTGCATTCAGAGCTTGAAGAACTACAAGCACTCGAACCCTTTGCGTGACATTCCAACGCATCCCAGTAAGCACTGCACTGCGACTTCCTGACTGCAATTACTCTTGATTGATTCTTCTTCTCATCAAGACAAGCTTTCTTTGAGGACTGGTAGACTGCGAATGAATCTAGGGAACGAAGCAGTAAGAGACCTGAATCGTGCTGCCTGCTGTAATGACGTTGGATGGACGCAGATTTCGCGGGAGGAGAATATATCAGCAAATAGAGAAGTGCTTGAAACGATCTACAAAGAAGCTGCGAAGGATTTCGCTTCCAGGGACAGCAACGTATGATATGGTGAAGGGAGGGATGATGGGTTTTAACGGACCGGGCAGGTGGAGGTGTCTCTAGAGGTTCCTATGAACTGGTGGACTTCCGTTGTTGTGCCGCGGCTGAAGGAGATAGTCAAGACTGCAGAGATTAAGAAGGAAGACGTCATCTTCGAGGTGGGAAGTGGTCCAGGGACTCTGCTCAAGTACATCTGTGAGGAGGAATCGACAAACGTGGACAATGTGTACGCTGTCGATCTGTGCGAGGAGATGGTAGACATAGTTGAGGAGAGATTCCCTGACGTCAATACTCTCCTTGCCGACTTTCTGGAGCTCTCGAAAGGATCATTACCCAACATGCAGAAGGGCGTTGACGTCATCTTCTTCAACTCTGTGATCAGCACCTTCACAGATCTGCAGGATCCTCTCAAGGTATCGGCGTCCCTCTTGAATCCAGGAGGAAGAGTTGTCGTCAGCCATCCTCTTGGGTCGCCTTTTGTCAGCGAGATGAAGAAGTCTATGGAAGAGCTGTACCTGAACGATCTCCCAGCTGTCGACCAGCTCCAACTTCTTGTGAAACACCTCCCGCTCAAGGTCGACAAGTTTGTGTCAGAGGATGAGCTGTACATCGCAAGACTGGTTCAGCGACCTTACCATGCCCTGGAGAAAGTCATGTGCATGCGTGGGGACGTCGCATCGGGTTGGGGGAGAGGGGGGAAGAAGCTTGGGATCCCAACAGCCAACCTTCCTGAATCAATGTTTGCGGATGCTCTGCGGGAGGTCCAGACAGGAGTCTACCTCGGATGGGCTCAGATCGGTGGGGTGAGCAAGAAGTCGGTGAAAGCCGTGGTCAACGTGGGGTACAGCCCAACTTTCGTCGGAGCTGAGAACCGGGAGAAGGTATGGTAGAGCGTCGGGGGTCGATAGTTGACCAATGTTGTGTGCCAGGTGGTAGAGGCTCATCTGCTGGAAAAGTTCGAGAACGACTTCTACGGGAAGGAGATGCGTTTGATGCTGACAGGATTCCTGCGGCCAGAGACGAAGTTCGACTCGTTCCCTGAGCTACTGGAAGCCATTCACAAGGTGATTCTCTTCTGCCTCCTGGTGCTCTCCGATCATGACGACTGCCTCGCGGGTTTTCAGGACATCGAAAACTCTAGGGAAGCGTTGGATACAGAAGAGTTCTCTGTCCTCTCAGCTCATCCCTTCCTGCAAGTAAGCTTTTCCTTGTCGTGTCTCGGACAGACCTAACCCAGTTTGCAAGGAAACTTCTGATTATGAAGCCTGGCAACAAATTGCGTATGACGATGCTGTGAAGGCTGCCGGAAGATGTTGAGACTTAAAGTATTGATAACGATGAACTAATCTGGTCGTACCGGCCACTGAACTGAACTCGGAAGCGGCTTGAAGTGCCAGGGTGACCCGGCAACTGCTCCCGTGACTGCTGATTATTGAAGCACCGTGACTGAGATTGGACCGCCGTCATCGTATCAGGCTAGGGGCGAGAGATGCAACTGACCGCAACTTGGCGGTTATTTTCCGAATACGTTATGATTATAACCGTTTAGATTGGGGTGGGGTCTTCAGACTGAATGTGAGGGGTGAAGAACACCCAGGGTGGGTACGAAGACCCCAAGAAATTCACTACAAAGAAGGGGTAGAAAAAATATTACGGGAATATATCGGGGGAAGACATTATCGCCAAGGGTCCTTGAGGAAATGACAAATATACCAAATTCTTGAAATTTTATTAAGAAAAACATCTGATTTGTTGAAAAAGAAAGTTTTATTTGAAACTTTTTGCGTCATAATTCACAAAATGATCAAAGATAGATACCCCCGGCGCGAAGGGAGGGGTCCCTTTTACTAGAGGGGGCAGATACGCGCCTCCCCATCGTCGCCGCCATGCTGCGCAGCGCGCTCCTTCTCGCCGGCGCATGCACTGCCTCCGCCTTCGCTCCTGCCGCCCTCCCAGCTCACCGTGCTCAGTCCCGTAAGTCTTATCTGGCACATCCTCCAGTGCATCTTGTGCGTTAAAACGATGTGCGAACGTTCAGTCTCGATGCTTCTCGTAGAAAGTTGGTTGCATGCTGTCGGTCACTACGTGGGAAGTTGGATCCCTGTATCACTGACTCGATCTCTTCGTATGGGTTTGATCCATTCCCCTTGCTCGAGGGCGGATGCTTTCCCGCACTGTGTGAACTTCTGATCCGTGCACCTGATGATCCTGAATGTGCTGTAAAACAGCTTGTCAACAGTATTTTGTGACAAGATGTATGATGCGAAGAGGAGCTAACTTGGCCTATCGTAGGATCCGGTGTCACCATGCAGCTCTGGGGTGAGGGCAAGGTTCAGGGCAGGGGAGTCCAGGCTATCCCTTTCTCCGCTCCTCCTTCCACCCTCCCCGCGGACATGGTTGGCTATGTCGGCTTCGATCCCCTCGGCTTCTCCACTCTCGTCGACATCAGACTCCTCCGTGAGTCCGAGCTCAAGCACGGTCGCGCTGCTATGCTTGCCGCCGCTGGAGCCATCGCTCAGGATCTCTTCACCTTCCCTGTGAGTGGGCAGGCAAACCCTCGCTGTCGCCTTCTAAAGTTTGGACGCAGGGAGTCGAGAAGGTCGTCGGAAAGGCCAAGATGACTGGCGCTCACGATGCCCTCATCGCCGGAGCTCATGCCGGCAACAAGCAGTCCTTCGCCATGCATCAGATCATCTTCTGGGTTGGCCTCATCGAGATCATCACCCTCCCCGCTATCTTCGAGATGCTCAACGGCTCTCCCCGCAAGCCCGGTGACTTCAGCTTCGATCCCCTCGGCCTCAACAAGAAGGTGACACTTCCCTCCTCCCTCTTCCCCTCGCTCACTCCTTCTCTCCTACTCGTGATCGTCGATGCTCATCTCTTGCTCTTGCAGTCTGATGGCCGCATGGAGCTGGCTGAGATCAAGAACGGCCGCCTCGCCATGATCGGCATCGGAGGTAGATGACTTTATGCTTCCGCTGTTGCACCTTTCACTCATCCTCCTTTTCGCAGGCATGATCCACCACTACCTCCTCACCGGCAAGGGACCCATCCAGTTCCTCACCGGCATCCCCAACTACAAGTCATGCATTGAGCCCCACCTCGGTGCTCTCTGCAAGTAAACTGTCTACCTACCATCATATTTATTGAGCACTCAATATAGAAAAGGGAAATGAAACCTCCTCTGCCCTCCACCTCCTGCCGCCACGTCCTCACACTTCATCGCTATGCCCCTGTGTTTCCTGCGTTATCCCACCGATTTCCTCGTATCCTGTTGCGCATGTCCTGACAGGGAAGGGTTAGCACCGGGTCACACCTGTGCAGGCCTGACCATCTGTCCTCTCCTGCACTCGAAGAACATCTGTCTTATCTTCTTACAGTCTTCTGGCAGCTCGTTGTCTTGCAAGCATTGCTTCACCGTCCCTCCTCTATTCGCGCTGGGAGCACATATCAGTCTCAGAGGTTTCAAGACCGTGCTGCTTCACCAAGGTGTCGTGCTAATACATATCAAGAGCTTGTTCTTCAGATTCTTGCAGCTGGTAGACATCAAATCTGCGGACTTTTGTTACCAACAGCAATCAAATAATATGAAAATGCGCACAAAGACAGGCTCGAGGAGTTCTCAGATCTGATAGAAGAGTGCTGAAGGAAGGAGGGGAGGAAGAGAAGGAGGCGTTGAGATACGGAGGAGGATTGGGGGAATAGGTGGGGGAGTTGGG